GACTTCTGTGCCCCCTGTGATTTGGCTTTGCTGACCTGCTCTTACATCAGGCCATGGGTGGTCATAGGGTCCTATGAAAACGTTTGATGTTGCTGAGCTGATCTTGCAGCATGAGGTATAAATCTGCTTGCAGATTTATGCAGGGGTCTACCAGCCTCAGTACTAAATTCCACTGTAGGTAGTGGGGTGGACCCACTTGTGCAGATCATCTTACAGGGTTTGGGGTTCATGGTGGGGGTGGTATTCTTTGGATTGGTAGCAAGTAAAAAGAGGTGTCTACCACATGTGAGTAGCCCTACTCACCTTAATGAAAATACTCACAGACTAAATGTTTAACAGGTTCTTTTGAGGGGGCAGAATAAGAGCTTTATATTAATAAATTGTATAGGCTGTTGCAGGCAGAAACTTTGTTGTGATAGGGGTGGCTAGGGCCCCGATTTGGCACAGCAGAAATAAATGCACACAAAGAAATTAACATTGAAGTGTGATGGTCAGCTTGTAAAATCAGGCCTTTGGAAACCTGGAAAACTAGAAAAAGCACAGGCCTGTTGCACCCCAGAGCTGGGGCGGGGGGGGGTGCAGTGTTGGAGAAAGTACAGTCTGGTCAGCGACAGGAGCAAGTGCATTTTGTACACAATCCCACAGGTTAGGAACCATTTTACAATTGTGTAATGTGCTGTGGTTCTGACACCCGGGGTGTGGGTGAGCACCCAGCCCAGCATGCCCTGCTGGGAATATTTTTTTACTTTTCTGATTTTCCTTCCCCCCCTAACATGAGTTCATTATACAGTACTTCAGTATCCTGCAGTTGGCCAAAGTCTGCAGTGTGCTTGCGGGATTTGCAGTTGCCAGGGTATCAGGCAGGGAGGGAGTGTGCTTGGACTTACACTTTTTGGTTTTGGGGGTAAAGACATGAGGAGCCACCATTGAGTAGAGAGCAAGGACACATCTGGTGGTTAGAAAGATAGCTAACCACCAGAGGGAGTGATTAAAAAGTACTAAAAAAAGGGGAAAAAAGGAAGGATGTGTACCAGAGTAGGCAGTTACAACAGCTGTGGGGAGGAGATAGCATTGAGAAGCATTGCAGTGTGGGATACCTGAAGTACTAAACCAGGGGCGGGCAATTACTTTGGGCAGAGGGCCGCTTACTGAGTTTTGGCAAGCCATGGAGGGCCGCATGACAAGCAGCCCAGGGCAGATTATAATTAATTTTCTAAATTTTTTAGGGGCCCTCAGGCTTAATGGGTTTGACTAAAATCAGGGGTAAAAGTTGGGGGGTGGGGAATAAGGATTAGCCTGGAGCAGAGGCAGAGAATTTCAGCCTGAACAAGTGAAAGCTACAAGTAATTGAAAACAGGAATAATAATGGAAAGAGCTAGGCTGCCTTACTAGTGCTTGGTGCTGCCAGCCTTATCTATGAATATTAAGAAATCTCAACTTTTTTATTATAAGTAACTCATGCATTGAATTCTGTCCATCCTACCAGAATTCTAGGCTTCAGAATATTTTTTGCAGTATTCAAGCATTTCCTGTGTTAATTTGCAGAATGTTGTCCCTTTCTGTTCCCTACCTCACTCAGCTTAATTGCATGGTCTGTGTACAGTAACAGAATAAAAACATCTGAAGTTAAAGGAATTCCAAGAAGCACTTGGGTGATTGCTCAGGGAGCTGTTTCCATGAAGTTCATATTAGTTCCTCCTTGCAACCCCACCTTCGCCTTAAGCTGTTTTGTTTGAACTGGAAACTTTGAACATTGTTCATAACACTGAAGCTATTTGCACTGCTCTATTACTTACTGCAAAGTATTGGTTATTTCATTGAAGACCAGTTCTGTATTCATACTTGTTTTACTCTTAACCCTCTGGATTCTGCTTCTGAATTCTGTCACTGGGTATTATTTTGATGGCCTTTGTTTGAGGATGCGGTGTAACATAATAAATATTGCTGTTCTTGAAAACTGAATTACTGTACAGCGATACCCAAGTTAAGCAGTAAATCATTTTTCACCAAAACGCAGCCCAGTACCCTGCCATGCTGTCACCAGTCTCTTGCAAGTGGACCCATCACAGCATCTTCTGTGCTACCAGCCATGTTCTAGTCACTTTTTCAAGTTCCAAGTCTGTAACATGCTATCTTTTCCAGGGGCATATTGAATTCTCAGTCCAGTCTTCCCCATGCCTAAAACTGGTGCCTGTCATCTCAACACCATCCCAGCCATACTTGCCTGTGCTTCTCTCCTCAGAGTCCCAACTAGGCACATGTGGGTACAAGATTGCAGGAAAGCAAGGAACACAGGCTTAGTAGAGGGTCAGCTAACCCTTAAATGGTGTTACAGAACTATGGATCTTTGCTAAAAAACAGAAGTCCTGAGACACCCTCATCTGGTATGCTCTTCCTGTATGAGTGAGTTATAAGTTAGGGAGAATCTGTTGTCCTTTTGTCAGGCTCAAACTGAGAAAATGATTCAGCATTTATACACGTGCTTCCGGAGGCACTTTAATTAGAGTGGCTCTAAGAGCCACTCTAAAGTGCCTGGAGCATCACACTTACCAATGTCCCCGTGCTGAAAGATGGCAGTGGGAGTGCATTAACTAAAGTTTGTTGACCAAGCTTTAAAGCACTCCAGTTGTCATTTTTCAGTGCAGGGATGCTGATACACATGATACTGGAGTCTGCTAGAGCACGGTAATTACTACGCTCCAGCAGACTTGATTAATCGAATCTGCTCCAACACGCTGGACATGCTCCAACATGTTGGGAGCAGCCTTGCTGCATGTGTATTAGGTGCCCATTGTTCCTAATTTGGGTCAGCAGTTGAAAGCCAGTGTTAATGGCCCTAGATTGTTCTGTGAGGACTTAACCAACGATAGGCCATCAGTGAGGCTTCAAGTACCTTTTTTGGTAAGGTAACTAATAGAGTTGCCTTATAGAAGATCAGACTTTATTTTCAATGCACTGCAGAAAATGAAGGTTATGATACAAAATAGAATTTGTAATCTGGTACAAGCATGTTTTCACTTCACCATATGCTCTAAGGGATTTGAGACAGAAAATTCTGTGCTGTCAGGGATTTAGCCACACATACTTTGAGGTAGTAAGGGCACTAATTCTTCACCCTTGAATGTAGCCATTCTCCCAAAACAGTTGCCTGATTTATGTCTTTCTCTTACTAAATTGACCCTTTCTGTTCACTTATTGTTCTACCATATACCTGTAATCGATACTTTCTGAAAACAAATTATTTAATGTCCAGTGATTTAATGAGAGAATAAATGCATCTTCCTATACACTAAGCAACCAATGCAAATGTACACAGTGCTTAATTGCCTCAAGCCACAATCCTACAAATACCTCAGCACATGGTTAATTTTAAGTGGTGTGGATTTAATACTCTTCTGCATAGAGTTTTACAAAATCTCAAACATTATGCTAGAATAGCCAAATGATTTTTATGAGAAGCAAGTATTTTTGCAGGTGATATCTTTTATTAGACAAACATTTGAATGCAGAAATTTGTTCTTCAACCTTCATATTCTAGAAACGATTTTGCTTCCTGTCCCAAAACCTTTTGCGTTACTTCTAATTGTCCAAATGTTCCGGTTCCTCAAAATGCCATAGCACACAATGTGTTTAAGTTTCGTTTCGTCATTTGTGACCAAACTAGGCATTTATATTAAATTGCTAGTTTTACATTGAAAACAAGTAAAGGATACATTTTTATTGGAAATACAATGAATTGTGTATTCCCCAAGCTTATGTATTCAGTAAGCGTACCTACTGTAGTTGTTAGTTTCTGGCAGTGTTTGACGCTGAAAAGAAGAGAAACAAATCTGTTTTTAAGTAAAAGCTTAGGCTTAGTAGACATTTTTCAGGTCTCCAAGAAACAGGTTGAGTGTAAGCCAACGCCCAAAAAACCATGTTAAAATTCATCAGTAAATCTTAATATAACCACTCCGTCCAGTTCATAACTTATTTTAGAAGAAATGTTTACCTGCAAAACTAAGCACCCTGACAAAGTTGTATTTGGTTTCTGATGTCAAAACCTTTGGGTTTGATTTTGTTTTTGGTTATGCCAAACTCTTACTACCATGTCTTCTATTTTCTTTTCTTTTTTCAGGGCTGATTACTGGAAATCACAACCAAAGAAATTCTGTGATTACTGCAAGTGCTGGATAGCAGACAACAGGCCTGTATGATGCACATTATTAATGATGATTGCAACACTAGGATTTTGAATTACATATATTTTTAAAATAACGTTCAGTTTATTACGGTGTGAAAACTTCATTTGTTTGTCTTAAAGATAATTTTGCAAGCATTAACCCTTGCACTAGGAAAAATTAGAAGACTTTCAAGTTAACGTTGTGGTTGCTTCTCTGGTTCTCAGTGCAGGACTGCACCTCTAGAATTTGATCCTAGTTTCCTTATCCACATGAATAAGAACTAGAGGATCTGGTCCTGTTCTTTTAAGCTCCCTAATTTGAATTTCCACATAGAAGCTTTGCCTCCCAGCAGATCTTCTAAAAGTGTACAGGGCTGGCGCTCAACCTCACCTCAACAGAAACTGCAGGCCCACAGTTGGGTTGCTTGCTTTTAGCAAACCTTCTAAAGTTAGTGCTCCAAGCACTGAATGCCAAATCTGCATTGTGAGCTTGTACCTGGTGCTATGTGTGCAGAAATACCCAGAACCACTTTAGAGCCTTTGTGTTGGGGCAGGTGCATGAGCACCTACAGTGTTACATGATTCCTACAACCCCAAGAGCTTCCAGGTTTCTCAGGCCTTTCCTACTACACCCATCTCCATGAATATACAGAGCTGCTCAACTTTTTCAGACTACCATGGTCCCAGTCTATCCCGGAAGCCTTTTGACTTCAAGGCTTTCCAGTTATCCATTTCCCACTCCCAATTTCGATTTCTGCTCCAAGTCTCAGATTTATGTACCTGCAAATTTTTAGGGTAAGTACAGAGGTTCAAAAAGCCCAAGGCAGAAGCGATTCAATCTTCACAGGTTAGTCTAAGCTATATAGCTTGAACCAGTAACACTGTACTGACGTTCAGCATTTGGGTGGCCAAGACAGACAGAAGCCTAGACGTGCTTACTTGTATTCTCTCTCCTCCTCCCTTCGCCGCCAGCCCTCTACCTCCCCCCCATGGCCAGCTGCCTAAGGCTACTAAACCCAGCCCAGTGGCAGCCCAGGCCTGATTGGCTCCTACCACCCCCCACCCTTTCTGCTGTCAGCTGAAGGGAGGGGAGAGCCAGCAGAAAAATCTCTCCCCAGCTCCAGTCTCTGAGAGGGAGATGTGGAACAGGACTGCACCACCTGGCCCTGGCCCCCCAGCTGGGATCTGCCTGGTGCAGGAAAGCTTCTACTTGGAGGGCTTTTCACTGCCCTCTGCCCAGCCTGGCTAGCAGGGCTCCATTTGGCTCAGCCTCACCCCCTCCCCAGCCCCCGCCTGTGAGAGTGTAGAGGGGAGGAATGCACACACCCAGCACCACCCCCTGTCCAGTCTGCAACCAGGGGTTTTCTGGTCCCTCGCAGCCCATCTCACTGAGCTGGGATCAGTTCAACCCCACCCTCTCCCATCCCCTGCCTGTGAGAGGTGGGGGGAAAACACACCTGCCTAGCCATGCACTGGTCGCCCTCCAGTGAGTGTCTACTGGATGCAGTGGTGAGGAGTCCCCACCAGAGCCTTTGTGCTTCTCTGCAGCCAAGCTTACCAGGCTGGGATCAGCTCAACCCCCCCCAACCTCCCCTGCCTGTGAGAAGTTGGGGCTAGGGAGGGGAATGCACTGGTCCAGCTGGGCACTGCCCCCCACCCCACCGAGAGTCTGCCTGGTGCACAGTGGGGAAGCCCCCACCAAAGGTTCTTTACTCCCCTGCAGCCCAGCTCGCTGAACTGGCATGGATTCAGCTCCTCCCCCGTCCCCAGCCCTCCACCTGAGGCTAGAGTGAGGAGGGAGCGCACTGGCCTGGCCTGGCATGAGCAGCATGGGGTAGTGAAAGCCCCTACTGGGGTCTTTTTGTAATCCTGCAGCTGGTGAGCCAGGCAGGGATTAGCAAGACAGGCTGTAGGAGAGTGAAAAGCCCCAAGTGGGGTCTTCCCCCACTCCATGCCTGGCAGACTCCAGCTGTGAGAGCCCAGTGCCAGGCTGGGCCTGTGCATCCCCCCATCTTCCCGTCACAGGTGGGCACGAGCCAAGGCTGTGGAGGAACAAAAAGCTTCCAGTGAGGGCAGACCCCAGCTAGGGGGCCAGGGCCAAGTTAGTGTGTTCCCCCTGCTCCATCCTTCCCCACAGGTGTGGGGCTGGAGAGGGGGTGAGGCTGAGCTGATGCTAACTCTGTTCACCTGGCTGCTGTGGGAACAAGAAGCCCCCACTGCTGGGGCTTTCCTTCCCCTTGTCCTGTACAAATGGGGGCTAGAGGTTCCCTTGCCCTCCCATCCCACTGGGCTGACAGGTGCTGGCAGGGAGCAGAGGCTTTAGTGCAGGGGTGTGCAAAATGTGGTCCAGGGTCCGGATGCAGCCCGCCAGGCCATTCTATCTGGCCCGTGGGGCCCCTAAAAATTTTAGAAAATTAATATTTAGCTGCCCTAAGCTGCCTGTCATGTGGCCCTCGATGGCTTGCCAAAACTCAGTAAGCGGCCCTCTGCCCAAAATAATTGCCCGCCCCTGCTTTAGTGCCTCAGCTCTTTGATGGAGCAGACAGCACAGCCCAGGGCTGCAAAGCATTCTGGGATGCGGGGGACTGTGAGTTAACTTGAATTGGAAAGGGATCTGGGACAGAAGTTCCATGTACCAGTTTAACCTAAATCAATTAAGTCTGATACTGCATCCAGCCAGGTTTATCTTAAACTGGTTTTGCCATTTTGAAACTGGTTTGTGTGCACTGAACTTCTGTTCTGTTACAGTTTTAAACCAGTTTCAAATCACTTAAACCGGTTTTATGTGCAACTTCTGTCCCTAGCTTTAAGTCCTCTGGTGCTCTGTAGGCCTTACCAGAACCTGCCTGAATACTGTGGTCATTAATCACTTAAAGTATGTTGTGAACTTTGAAAGGCTTAGGAACGCAAACCTGAAAAGGAGGAGCCAGGAATAAAGGTATGAAGCCTGGAAGCTGGAAAACCACAACATGTATAATTCTCAAACTAAACAACTCTTTGTAATATGCATAAGTGTTTTATTCTTTATTTAAAAATCCCAGAAAATGCTGATTTTGAAATCTGGAATCCTTGTGACCTACTGAATATCAAATATCCCAGTGCTAGATTTAGAGTGTAACTTAATTTTCATACTATCTATTGCTGGGATTTCATACATGTTAAACTTCGAATTTCCTAAATTTTAAATGGTTAGAATTTTATTATAACTATGGTATGTTTGTAACAAATTTTACCTCTATATTAGGTTAGATGTGCTCAGTCTTAACTTCAAGTTCACCATTTCTTTCTTGCATAGGTATAGGTTACAAATGTAACACTGGCTTATGTAAATTACTTTTTGTTAATTTATATTTTAACTTACTTTTTTTTTTCTCTTGAAGAGCATTGAATTTCATGAAAGGGGAAAGAACCATAAGGAAAATGTGGCAAAGAGAATTAGTGAGGTACATTTTTAATTTCTCCTTGTTTCCCTAAGGATTTAACTTTATTTCTTTTGTTATGGCCTTCACTTTTTTTTTTTCATTTGCAGATTAAAAAGAAAAGCTTGGAAAAGGCACAAGAAGAGGAAAAAATGTCAAAGGAATTTGCAGCAATGGAGGAAGCTGCACTGAAAGCATATGAAGAAGATTTAAAAAGGCTTGGAGTTAAGCCAGGTAGTTCTTATAGCTGCTAACAAGTTTAAGTAGGAGAAAAGGAATATTGGGCATATCTACACATTGTCCTATGGCAATGTAGTGATGCATTACATCACTGTATGACATGGCACAGGGACATAGTGATCACATGGGTCTACACATGATTGCCAGCTACGGCAACATTGCAGCAAGCTCCCCGGTTATAGCATGCCACTACGACAGGAGTGGGCCAAATGTGGCCCGTGGGCTAGATGTGGCCCACCAAGCCATTCTGTCTGGCCCACGGGGCCCCTAAAAAATTTAGAAAATTAATATTTGTCTGCCCCTGGCTGCCTGTCATGCGGCCCTTGATGACCTGCCCATACTCAGTAAGCAGCCCTCCGCCCAAAATAATTGCCCATTTCTGTGCTACGGCAACATAGCAATGAAATCTAACCATGCACCACATGCATGGTGCAAGAAGCACCCCTATTGTGCTGTGCTTTAGTTCTTCCAAAAGGAAGTACTAAAGCATGGCACCATAGCAATGTCACCATATGGCAACATGTAGACATGCCCGTAAAATAGTATATTTTTTAACTACTTTTGCAGGAACTATAGGACTGTCTCTCTACTGGAACAAAGATCTATAATTTGCCACTAGTCGAAATTGAGGTGCAAATAGAGCTCAAATGCGTTTATCATCATACTTTCCAACTTTTTGGACCATCTATTTTTGGAGTTGAAATTAAAAAAAAAAAGTGGTAACAAAGATTTCCTAAGCATTAACTATATTACATCTTATAAACACTACAACCCAATGACATAGCATGCAGTGGTTTAACGCGTGTTCAACTTTTGCCAGTAGAAGCAAAGTCCCTTGCAAATAGTGGCGCTTTCAATCACCAGTCAACTTTGAGCCAATTTTTTTCATCAAATCTTCTCCACCTCTTACAGTTTAGTAGGTGCATTTCTTCATTTACCATGAGGATAAGGTACCTATTTTTAATAAGTCCTGTTAAGGTGATGTCCCAGTGGAGACCATCTCCATAACTCTTCCAGCCTCTACAGACCCAGGGTTCAATAGGCCTGAAGCAGTCCTTCAATTTAATTTTTTTTTTTGCATGTGTGTTTCTTCAGAGATGTAACTAACAAGTTTTGTGCTCTGGGCAAAACCCTGCTGGAGGTGGGGTTGGAGATGAGGGGAAAGAGGTGTCAGTCTTACCTGCCCTGAGGACTCAGACTGCTGCTGCCTTGTTGCTGTCTTCAGGCACTTGGATACTGTTGCTGATAGGGTGGAGCTACTGTTACAGCAGCAAAGACTCCCGTATGGGAACTGCCATTCCAACACCCCTTCCAAGTTGGCCCCCAGGGCTGGTGCCCCGCTTGCCTGTCCCTAATTACACTACTGGTTTCTCATGCATATAATCAGACTGCCTTGCAATAGTAAAATCTTGTTAAAAATGAAAGTCTTCTTTACTGTAATACTGTGAAAGAAGAAACTGCATTGAACTAATAGCTATCTGCTGCATGAAGAATGCTCAATATGCAGTATGTAAATTCTGATAATTACTCTTTAAAGAGGGTGTTGGTTTCTTTAAGAGTCCATAGGTCCCAGCTCCACACAAACTAAACAAGTGGAAAAGAAAGAAAAGAAGGAAAAGAAAAAAAAGAAAGGGGTCACCTCAAAAATGTCATCAGGAGAAACAAAGGAGTGGGTACGAGGATTTTCTCCTGAGGGTTACACATATTACTACAATACAATTACAGGAGGTGAGTGTGGGCCAGATGCAATTATTTTGTCAAAAATGGAATTCTCTATATTTCCTTATTCTTCTCTTCTTCTAATGTTTATAGATAATTAATAATTACCCACGTTTTAAACAGCCTTGATAGAATAAAGTAATTAATCTTATAATTATGTGAAAACATCCAGAATTTAAGATGGGCCTTATTGATATTTGTTATTAATAAATAAGTAGTGGCAGAAATCATGGACACTCTTGGAAATTCTTAACCCCCTAAAAAGTTTAAATGCACAGAAAGGATTTTTTTTGTTCTCCTAACAGATAATTGGAATCCCCAGTATCAGGATTCATCTACATAGTAGACAATTTTTGGAGCATAAATAGTATATTGAGTGGATGAGATTAGATCTTTTGATTATTGTGTTTCATGTTTACATTTGCAAGATTGCCACATTGGGGGAGGGGAGGGAGGTGTAGAGTGTTGGTAGGACTTTAATGGGTTTTTTTGGTTTTGAATTTAGTATTTGTAGCTGTTATTTGCCTTAGAGTAGGGCTGTCCAGTTGGTGGTCCATGGACCACATGTGACCCCAGGGTGTGAATCTGAGGCTGTGGCCCTCAGCCATTCAATAGTTGGACAGTTCTGCTTTAGAGCTTTGGCGAGATCCTCTGTTATGACTCAGTAGGTATATTACAAACTATTTCTTGCAATTGCAGGGACTGGCATTGGTGACCTTCTCTATGCTTTCTGATTGATCTGTTTTTCAGTTTCAGCTGGCCTGTGCTCTCAAAAGAAAATATCCTAAATTACCATAACGGTAATAACTACATTTCAATCATGATGTAACAGAACATTGTTTTTTGAGCTAGGGTACATGTTATACCTGTGGTTGTGCAGTGAACTTCTAGCAGGTTGAAGGAACAGACGGGGAGAGGGAAGAAAGTAAAAGAAAAAATGAAGAACAACTCTACAGAATTTCCTAGGTTGTTGGAGGCTTTGCTTGTTTGGTTATGGCAAGATAGCATTACTTTTTCTTTATCTCTAAAGTGCAACAAAAACTGTAACAAACTTAAAAGGTTAATGCAACCTGAAAAAGTTTGGGAATCACTGTAAGAGCAATTTGGAAGACTTAACGGGGCAGGTTCTCATGCTCTTACTCCACAACTAGTCTTATACACTTCATTGGGACCGCTCTTGGTTTACTATTCAGTATGGGTAAGAGTATCACAATGTGATCTAGTGTAATTTTTTCTAGATATACAGTACATATGTTACTTGTGTGCGTGTGTATACACATCTGCATTATACTCTTTTAACTATTTATTTGAAAGGTTAATAATAAAAATGGCCAAAAATAATTGATAAATGAAATATTTTTGTTCTAAGAGTCCCAGTGGGAGAAGCCTGAAGGATTCCAAGACAACCCCCAGAACTCTCAAACGGTAATCACACAGCATTATTAGTGCTTTTCTTTACTTGTAGGATTTACTTCAGAAAGATCCTTGTAGCCTAATTGTCTCATCTATCATGCATCTATTATTTTTAATACCTAATCTAACCTGTTTGTATTTTGGAGATTAGAAAATGCATTGTGGCTTCAGTACATATAACAGCAAAAGCTAAGCTAGGGTTAAAAGTACACTTTCACTACAAATTGCTGTTTTTAATAACTGATAAGTGTGTGTATATATATCTTTATATCGCGATATAGATATATATATATATAGATGTATATGCATGTGTGTGTGTGTATGTCACTATATACTGTATATAGATACACACACAATTTATGTTTATGAGGGATTTTCAAAGGCACGTAAGTAGTTTAGGAGCACAGATTCACAATGCTTCTAAATCATTATTGCACATTTGAAAATTTTACCCATATATAATTTGAAATGTTGCTTTTGTCTATTATATCTTTTAAATAACTTCTGTTAGGTTTTTTTGAGTGAAATGGAACTGTGCAAATCTAGGGTGCAGTATTTTCAAACTCCACAGAACTACAAATCGTGGCCTAAGATCTCTGGAGAAGTCCATTTTTGGTTTCCCGTAACCCCCTTAGTTTAAGATATAAAGTTAGCATATCTTGCAAAGTGATTCAGTTTAGAGAGTTAAGAAACGTGCTGCAGTATTGTGATCTTTTTCTTAAATATATACTGAGGAAATTACAGGGAAAAACTAATAATGAATAATAAAATAATACTTAAAGAATATATACATCAGCAAAAAAAGTATTCTAACAAGGTTTGTTTGGTAATATATTCTACTGGACCAATTGTATAGTTGAAAGAGATGTTAGACAAGCTTTTGGAGAAGAAAGCTTGTCTAAGATTTCTCCCAACTTTACAGTTGTCCAGTAAAAGCTGTCTTCAAACAAACTTTGTTTCCTACATATTCCCTGGACCACAAGGACTACTACACAATACTCTAACCCCAGAAATAGCTTAGTCACAATTTTCAGTGTGTTATATTTCTCTACCCTACCTTCTCCATGTGCAGTATTCTGGGTTACTGGTAAGTTTCAGAGACCATCCATGTTTTACAACCAGTAAGAAGTTAGCTTACTGCTTAGTTCTCCCACACCTGAGCAGGGTGGAGTAATAACACAGCACTGTGTACTTAGAAGATGGCTGCTACTGTGATAAGACCATATAAATGCTGATAGACACCCAGCAGCCTGTGAAAACAATCAGCAGAACTATTGATAAAGGAAACCATCTGTTTCACTGCTCTGTTGGGTCAGGGAAAGAATGCTCCATGCCAAGCAGACTCTACTGCTAATAGAAAGAACTGTGTTATACCTCAGGCTGGTTTTTTTTCATCTCATCTGTAGCTCTGTAAAACCACTTCCCATTTTGTCATTTTTCTTGAAACTAATGCACTCAAAATTTGCAAAATATATCTTGAGGAAATTTGTGGGCAGCTTTTTGCCTTCTCTGAATCAACTGATTTAATTTATCTAAAACCATTTATAAAACTTAACAAAATACTAAGTATCTTTACACTTTGTCAGCTGTGTCATGGTTAGTCATTAAGCCACATTTTACTTTCTTTTACTTTTACTTTCTATGTATTTTTTCATTAGACAGCAGTATGGGTGGAAGGAGTCACTGAAGATGGTCATACATATTATTATAATACACAGACTGGAGGTAAGATGCACTAGTTTCTCAGTTAAGCCCTTTCTGAAAAGATAAGATTTTCTGTTCTGTTTTTTACTATGTGCACTTTCTTCTAGTTTTTGAATCTTGAAATTGGTAATAGTCATTAAAATATGTCTTTTGCTTAGGTCATTTTTACCCTTAGCTGAGGATCATCTGATGTTGTTTGTTTTGTTAAACTATTCCCACTGTTTCTGGCCTCCAGGCACATGGTTGTATACAGATAAAAGGCTTCTTCATCATTTTTGACAAAATGGCAATGTAATCACCAGGGATCCGGGTTTTCCGTTTCCTGTGGGAAAACATGGATTTTCCCATTAAAGAAGAAAAACATGGGTTTTCCCCTTTAAAGGAAAAACATGTGAATTTTCCCTTGCAGGCTAGTCAAGTTCCTGGGGGGAGTGGGGGAGGGTAGTCTGAGGCAGGGGGTGCCATGTGCCTATGCATGCGCGCGCACACATGGTTGGAGTGGGAGTGGGAGTGGGGGTGGGATGGAACACATGGCATGGAACTTTCCCTCTTGGTGACTGAGGGGTATAGACTGAATTTCCTATGCCATGAAGCCCGCCTGCTGCCTTAGTGCCCTTTGCCGCCTCCTGTGCTTGCTGGCAGGTGCACACAAAAAGGCAATGGCAGAGAGGCAAGGAGGGAAGGGGACATAGGGCAAGAGTACCCCAGGGGGTATGGGGGGCATGTGCCCCCCAGATTTCTGCAGGAATAGTGGGACATGGGGCTGTAGCCTGGCCAGACGGGCACTGGGCATGAGCCACCTCCATGACCCAGTGGGCAGGACCCAGCATGGGAGGGCAGAGCAGGGCGGGAGGCTTTATGCTGCAGCTGGCACCCCTGCTGCTGCTGGGCGTGCAGGGGGCACCTTGCCATGGTGTGACTGGCATGGGACTCCTGGCGGCAGCAGTATCAAATCTCCCTGCTCTTCCATCCCATACCAGGTCCCACCTGCAGGGCCGCAGAAGCCCCTGGGGGAGAGCAGCAGGGCGGGGAGCCCCAAGCACTGCAGCAGGCAGCCCACATCCTCCTCCCACCTGCCCATGGGCTCCACTTGGCTCTGATCTGGCCATGCTGGTGTGAGGCAGGCTCCATGTTCCTCTCTCAGCAGCTGAGGCTTGGGGACTGCTGGTTCACTGCGCCTGGCTCCCACAGGGTAGGGAGCTGGGAGAGGGCAAGATGCAACCTGTAGCCCTGGCAGCTGGCTGCTTCCTCCAGCAGGGCTTAATGGGTAGGTGGCTGCGGGTCAGGAGCGAGGGGCCCTGGCAGGAACAGGGAGGCTGTGGGTTAGGAGTGAAGGGCACCAGGTTGGGAGTGAGGGGCACGGGCAGGGCCAGGGGACTGCATGTCAGGAATGAGGGGCCATGGCAGGGATGAGGAGTAGTAGGTCAGGAGTGAAGGCCAGGGCACTGGCATATCGGGGCTGCTCAGTGCCATGAAGCATTGTGGGGGACAGCCGTAGTTAGACCTGCATCCTGATAAGCAAAGTGGGTAGGGGGAGTTCTCATGATAAAAAAAAAAAAAATCAAATACCAAAGTATATAGATATTTACAATTTTATTATAATGATTGAGGCACTGGTAGGCTTCCAAATTACTTTAAAATTGTAAATATATCAATAAAACATTGTGTTCAACTGATACCTATATATAGTGGTGTTTCATTTTAATCGCAGAAAAACACGGATTTGGGGGGTTTTTAATCAGAAAATGTTGGATTTTTTTATCAGAGACTTTTGAATTTTTTAACAGAAAACCAGGATCCCAGGTAATCACTTCCTATGTATCTACATGTTCAGCATGTAACTATGCAGTATAGGTTAGTGAGATGCATAATTTTTACTATCTTTGGTTGGAGACAAAAGAGGTAGACAATTTCTTTTTGTTTGTTGTTGCTTCTTGGGTGTTGTCATTGATACACCCTTAATGTTTTCTGGGAAGACGTCAAGGATATATGTTGTAACTTTTAATCGTAAATTAAAATACATATGACACAGGAAGCTATAAACATATTTTGATCTTAAAAGAATCCAGCCAGCAAGAGAGAATCAACTC